GCTCTCTCTTTCTAGTCCCTGTCAGTACTCTTGCTGCAGCATTTTGGATTAGCTGAAGGCTTTTCAGTGAGTTTTTTGGACATCCTGATAATAATGACCATGGCCAAAGTTTTTATAAAAGAGGTCAGTATATGTACAAGTAGTCCCTGTGGGCCCAAAGCTCAGCCTTCATACTGCTCTAAATGCTGTTTCAAACTCTTGGGTCTTTATGATGTCATTGAGAGGGGCTATTCCTATTATCTGCTCAGATATATTCTTAGATGCAAAGTGTAGCCAATCAGGAGAAAGTGGCTTAAAGGGAGAGAAGCTTTCAAAGTGATTCATGCAGAGCAATAGCATCAGAGAATAAAATAATAAGGTTAGAAATGAATATATTAGGTCCTCTTTAAAGATGCTGGTGGTCACAGGATGGTTTAAAAGCTCTTTCAGAATAAACCTTAACCCTGGAGAACCCATGGGGTCAGATCCGACCCCATTGACCCCATAAAGTCATCTCTAAAAAAAAGTAAGTATTATCAAAATTAGCATTAAATTTAAAGAATAGAATTAAATAATTCTATTAAATAGATAGAATGAATTCTAAGTGAAGTAAAGGAAAGGCATTTTATTCCAACTTCGTCCAAATCCCATTCCAATACCAAAGCACCCAGTTCATTTAGCTCTTAAGTACTGTCGAATGAGTCACCAAAATGTATCAAAGTCAGAACTAGTGCAGTCTCTGTTACTTTTATTTGCAGTAAGTTATATTTGGAGGCCTGCATATGTTCTGCGACCTCACCACCCTTCCGCGTGGATACATAAAAAGCTGAAGAGTAGCAAGACCAATAACACACCAGAGCAAGATTTAACATTTATCAATGTTTAAATGAACAGATTTAACATTTATCAATTTAGAAATGACATGCAAAAGAGAAGCTGGGCTGAAGGTGGGTTTCAAAGCAGCTTGCACTTGCACAACAACTATGGGCAGGTTAACTTTTAGGAGCGTGGCTCTTACAAGCTAGCCAATCAGACAAGTTGAAGAATGTAACGTAAGCCATCAGACAATTTCAACCCACCTTGAGATTAGCTAGTTAAGGCAGGCAGCCATGGCCTGCCTGTACTAACGCCATGCTATGTTGTTTTCAGTTTGAAAGCGGTTCAGTTTTCTGTCACACTTGGACATTGTACTGTTTAGCATAATCTTTTGGGGGTTTTTTTTAAACTATTTTCAGGGGAGGAATAACCTTTAGTGATGCGAGGGCACGTGAGATTTTAGACTCAGTAAACTACAGTATGTTTTTAATGAAGATGCTGTGGTATAACTTCGGCTTTGACTACACAGACAGCACTGAATCTGTTGAGCTGTCAAGTGCATTTGGTTTTGTTGGTCTTAGAAATCTATGTTTTTCTAACTGCAACTTCAGCCTCCACTTTGGTGACATCACAGCCTGACAGTCTTGGCTTTCTAGCTTTTCTCAATATCCCCAGATGGGCCTATTACCCTGGAGTCTTATATTTTTGGATATGACATCATTCATAATTCATCCATCAACAGCACCTCTCATTTCCTCTCTGTCAGCCACACATTCCTCACACTTTGCCTCTCCAGCCCCTCCCCAACTTATCGTTCACCTCTCCTACATCTGCCATGTCACTGCTTCTTCTGTACGTCTCCCTTCCTCTTTCGCCTCTCACCTTTCCCTTCATCTGGTGTTGTAGGTCTCGTTATGATTTATAGAGTCATTCATTGTGGTGCCTGGTCCATCGATTGTCTGTTAGAGGGATGTGATTTGTCAGGAAGGATTATTTTACACTTTGCCTTCTGATTAGTGACTGACAATGCATATAAAGACATTACACTGTACACTTTAGCCTGTCACTCACATATAGATAGTCAAAAGAAAAGTGTTGCACTGTAAGTTAATTGTTAATTAAAAACAAGCCTGTGTCATCTGAACTTAACATAATAAAGTTCACTTAAGTTCATTAACTGATCAGTAGTGTACAGGCTGGTGAAAATCATATATTGCTGCAAACCCTCACTGATCCTCTATGTGACTTGCAGATTGCAGAGTGGGAAGAGAGGCAGCTTGATGAGCAGGTCAACTTCAACAACTGCAAGATCGACCCCGCCCCGTTCCAGCTGGTGGAGCGCACGTCACTGCATAAGGTCTGATTTGTATATATAACTGTGTTCAGCCTCGGTGTGGAACTAATGTCCCTGCTACTAGGAAACAGTTTTTCCCGTTGTGTGTAAATGGCAGTTAGTTTGTATTTAAGCCTTCCAAAAATAAAGCATTCAAGACTGATTAACATAAGACGAGAAAGGTAAAACTTC